GATTGCAATTAAAACATTTTTGAATGCCTGTGAAATTGATTATGAGCCAAAGTTATTTTGTGTGTTTATTTTAGGATACAAGATGGCTTCATCATTTTTCGTTGGTGGAAAATGTACAACCCAAAGCAAAAACAACACGGTGAGTATGTATTAAAGGAAAATGTATGTTAGTCTTATATGATGTTTGAGGTTTTTAGGGAGAACTATGAGGCATTCAGTTCTCTCAAATCAAGAAGGGATTTCTTCTGTGTGTGCATGAACTTTTCCTATTTTTAAGACAAAGTAGGGTTTTCTTCTTAGAGTACAGTGTAGTAGTTAAGCAAAACAAATCATACAAATACATTAAAGCATCTCTGGCACTTTCAGGGGTTTAAGGCTTTTGTGTAAATTCACTCAATTTGTGTCAATCCATTCAAGAAATTTGACACAGAACATAGCAGACTGTAGTGATTATGGTGATTACATATTGTACTTTAGTCTGAGGATGTATTTGTGTGAGTTTTCAGAGCTTGTGTGTAAATGAAGGGGAGTATGTTGCAAATGTCAGTATTTGTGAATGCTGGAGAGTACTTGTTGGAAATGTCACTGTATGTAATACTTCATGGAGAAATGTGTATATTCATCAAAACAAGTCTGTATTTCCCTCCCCCCCTCCCACACCCCTGAGTCTTACCTGAGCATGGAGGAGAAGCCTGCAGCCAGCACAGAGCAGGCCTCTCCTGATGTCAGGATGAGCGGGCGTGACTTCGACTGCTCTTCTCCCAGCCTCCCCATCGGTTTGAAGATTGCGGATTGCTGGGGATTCTGGGAGAAGAGCAGTGGAAGTCACGCCCCTCCTCCTGACCTCATCAGGAGTGGCCGCTGACTGACTTACTGCCTCTGTGTGATAGCTGCCGGCTCCAGGGAGAGTGAGGTAATGTGAAAAATCCAAGTCCCCAGCCACAGGCAGGGGATTGGGATTTTTGTGCCCCCCTGCTCTCGCGCCGTAAGGCGGCCGCCTGTGCCGCCTTATGGATGCACCGGCCCTGCCACCAGCTGTTACACAAGTGTCACTTTCAGAGTTCTTGTGAACGACTCTCAGAAATTGTGACATAGGAAAACCAATTTAAAGTGGTTTAGGTGGAAACTAACTGTATGTTAGGGGGAAGTTATCGTCATGGGTGACTTTAATCTTCCTGATGTTAAGTGGAAATCCAAAATAGCTGCTTATGCCAGGAGCACACATATTCTAAACTCTCTACTGGGATTGTCTCTAAAACAACTCGTAAGATTTAGTGTTTACAAATGGAGATTTGGTATCCGATATTAATATAGGTGAAAGTTTAGGATCCAGTGATCATCAGTCAGTGTGGTTTAATATGAGAACAGTAACTGAGTCACACCAAACAAAAACAAAACTTTTAGAATTTAGAAAAACAGACTTTTCTAAAATTAGAATATGCATAAAGGAGTCCTTGTCAGACTGAAGCAGTTTAAATGGAGTCCAGGAGAAATGGGATTGTTTAAAAGTTGCACTGCTGAAGGCAACAGAAAATTGCGTTAGGCTGGTCAGTAAAAGCAAAAAATGTAAGAAACCACTGTGGTACTCCGCAGATGTGGCCAAAATAGTAAAAAACAAAAAGTTAGCGTTTAGTAATTATAAAAAAATCCCAGAGTGAGGAAGATAGACAGATCTATAAGAGTAGGCAGAAAGAGGCTAAGCAAGTTATAAGAGCATCTAAAGCACACACAGAAGAGAAAATTGCACAATCAGTAAAAAAAAAAAAGGGGATAAAACATTTTTTGATACATAAAAAGAAAAGGAAAGTAAAACAAGGATTAGTTAGATTAAAAACAAAAGGAATGTATGTAGAAGATAAGGGTCTAGCTGATTGCCTCAATTAATTTTTTTGTTCAGTATTTACAGATGAAAATGAAGGAAAGGGGCCTCAGTTAGGAAAAAGGACAAATGAGTAATTTGTTATAAGTGAGTTTACAGAGGAAGAGGTTCAACTGTCAAAAGTAAAGACAAATAAGTCGATGGGGCCCGATGCAATACACCCAAAGTTATTAAAAGAACTTAGTGGTGTACTAGCAAAACCATTAACAGATTTATTTAACCAATCATTGTTAACAGGAGTAGTCCCAGAAGATTGGAAATTAGCGAATGTTGTACCCATTCACAAGAAAGGTAGTAGGGAGGAGTCAGGCAACTATAGGCCAATAAGCCTTACTTCAGTAGTTGGGAAAGTGATGGAAACCATGTTAAAGGATAGGATTGTTGAACAGTTAAAATCACATGGATTTCAAGATCAGAGACAACATGGGCTTACTTCAGGGAGATCATGCCAAACTAATCTAATTGATTTTTTTTAATTTTTTTTATTAACTAAAATAATAGATCAGGGTGGTGCAGTAGACATTGCTTACCTAGATTTCAGTAAAGCTATTGACACTGTTCCACATAGAAGGCGCATCAATAAACTGCAATCTTTAAGTTTGTATTCCAATATTGTTGAATGAGTTAGGCAGTGGCTAAATGACAGGCAACCTTTACTCCTAAATCTAGACCTTGCCTAGACCTTGCTTTGAATATACTCCGTTGACTACAACCCTCTGTTGTAGTCAACGGAGTATATTCAAAGCAAGGTCTAGGCAAGGTCTAGTTACCAGTGGGGTAACTCAGGGATCTGTATTTGGACCCATTCTCTTTAATATTTTTATTAGTGATATTGCAGAAGGTCTTGATGGTAAGGTATGTCTTTTTGCCTATGATACTAAAATTTGCAACAGGGTTGATGTTCCAGGAGGGATAAGCCAAATGGCAAATGATTTAGAAAAATTAGAAAAATGGTCAGAGCTGTGGCAACTGACATTTAATGTGGATAAGTGCAAGATAATGCACCTTGGACATAAAAACCCAAGGGCAGAGTATAGGATATTTGATACGCTACTAAACTCAACATCTCAGGAAAGGGATTTAGGAGTAATTATTTCAGATGACTTAAAGGTAGGAAGACAATGTAATAGAGCAGCTGGAAATGCTAGCAGAATGCTTGGTTGTATAGGGAGAGGTAGTAGCAGTAGAAAGAGGGAAGTGCTTATGTCATTGTACAGAACACAGGTGAGACCTCACTTGGAGTATTGTACGCAGTACTGGAGACCATATCTTCAGAAGGATTTTGATACCTTAGAGAGGGTTCAGAGAAGGGCTACTAAACTGGTTCATGGATTGCGGGATAAAACTTACCAGGAAAGGTTAAAGGATCTTAACATGTATAGCTTGGAGGAAACGAGACAGGGGGGATATGATAGAAACATTTAAATACATAAAGGGAATCAACACAGTAAAGAAGGAGACTCTATTTAAAAGAAGAACTACCACAACAAGAGGACATAGTCTTAAATTAGTGGGGCAAAGGTTTAAAAACAATTTCAGAATGAGTTACTTTACTGAGAGGGTAGTAGATGCATGGAATAGCCTTCCAGCTGAAGTGGTAGATGTTAACACAGTGTGGGAGTTTAAGCATGCGTGGAATAGGTATAAGGCCATCTTAGACTTAAGATCAGGCCAGGGACTAATTAAAAGTATTTTGAAATATTGGGCAGACTACATGGGCCGAATGGTTCTTATCTGCCGTCACATTCTTTGTTTCTATGTAAGAGTGTATTTCTGTCTGTCTCTTTCTGCTAAGGATTAGACAAGTTGGTCATTCTTAAAGGGACACTATAGTCACCAAAACAACTTTAGCTTAATGAAGCCATTTTGTATCTAATGCCTCTGAAGTTTCACTGCTCAATTGTCTTCCATTGAGGAGTTAAATCACTTTTATTTCTGTTTACGTAGCCCTAGTCACACCTTTCCTGTCTGTAAATGACACAGCCTGCATGAAAACAAAATGATTTCATTTTTTCTGTCATATGGTGGCAGTACATGTTGGTTTTGCTCCTTTCCTGTGGACAAGCATCTAACAAGATTAAGTCAACAAACCCCTCCCCCTTGCCATATATAAGGGCTATCCTGCAAAACCTACCCTAGTTTCCTTTCTTGTCCCGAGAAGGAAGGACACAGCATCTAGATGGTGAGACACACAGGCTGCTGGTCTGGGGGATCCGGTCCGAGAGCTGCCCGGGTGGTAGGCTGAGAGACCATGCTTCCTACCTGTAGGTTACAGAGCAAGTGGAGATGTGATTCCTTTTATACCTAGAAGGGTTCCGGCAATACTTCCTGGAGGCTGAGTTTATCCGGCGCACAGCAGTGGAACGAACGCCCGGGTGGTGCTGCATTCCACCTAAGCTTCCGGTTGCGCTAGTACACATCCGCAAACCGGAAGTTTTATTTTAATGCTTGTCAGAAGAGGTACTCCGTGTCACCAACCCCCACACGGCTCAGAGGTATTTTAAGGTAAGATTAACTAATCTTTACTTTAAAATTATCTCTGTAAAGTTTATACACGTAAGTTACAAGGAAAAAATGAAAACTACGAGGAAAGAAGTTTATAACCTTGCGGAGAGAGAGGTAATAACAAAGAGAGAGTTTTGGCATTCTAACCCTATGGACATAGGGCTTATATCTCCTGCAAAGAGGCACAGTGTGTGTCCACTATATGCTCTATGTATGAGTTACTGTGAGATATTACGAGTTGCTGTGAGCAGTATATGTATCCACTATATGCTCTATGTATGAGTTGCTGTGAGCAGTATATGTACCCTCTATATGCTCTATGACAAGTGACTGTGAGCAGTATATGTACCCTCTATATGCTATGACGAGTTGCTGTGAGGACTCACCTTCTATATATATATATATCCACTATATGCTCTATGTATGAGTTACTGTGAGCTATGACGAGTTGCTGTGAGCAGTATAGGTATCCGCTATATGCTCTATGATGAATTGCTGTGAGGTCTCAGCTTCTATATATATATATCCACTATATGCTCTATGTATGAATTACTGTGAGCAGTATATGTACCCACCATATGCCCTATGACGAGTTGCTGGGAGAAGTATATGTATCCGCTATATGCTCTGACGAATTGCTGTGAGGTCTCAGCTTATATATATAGAGATATAGATATATAGATATAGATATAGAAGCTGAGACCTCACAGCAATTCGTCAGAGCATATAGCGGATACAATTCTCTATCTATCTATATATATAATATATATATATATATATCCACAATATGCTCTATGTATGAGTTACTAGGAGGGCTCAGCCTCAGTTTGAGTATATGCTAGATGCTCTATGTAAGAGTTATGAGGACAGCCTCTGTATATGTATCCTCTTTATGCTCTATGACGAGTTGATGTGAGCTTTGTATGACTTACTATGAGGACTCAACCTCCGTATAGGCTCTATAGATGAGTTAATATGAGAACTCAGCCATCAGTATATGTTTCCATTAGAGGCTCTATGTATGAGTTATTATGAGGTCTCTGCCTCTCTATATGTATCTACTATATGCTCTACGACGCGTTGATGTAGGAACTCAGCTTCAGTATATGCATCCACTTTATGTGCTATGTATAGTTACTATATAGCCTCAGCCTATATACCCACTAAATGCTCTATGTATGAGTTAAGAGGACACAACCTCTGTAGATGTATCCACTATATACTCTGGTTGAGTTTATGTGAGATCTCAGCTTCAGTATATGTTCCCACCATAGGCGCTATGTATGAGTTACTATGTGGACTCAGCCTCAGTATATGTACCCACTATAGTCTCTATGTAGCCACTTTATGCTTTATGATATATGCTCCATATATGTGTTTCTATGAGGGTTCGGTTTCAGTATATGTGATTTCTATATACTCTGTGTTGGCATTATGAGGACACAGCTTCAGTATAATGCTCTATGTAATAGTTACTATAAGGACACAACCTGGGTAATTATATCCTCTATATAATCTATGTATGAGTTTCTGTGAAGACAGAGCCTCAGTATAGGTATTCTCTAGATGCTCTAGGGATGTGTTCTAGGAGGTTACTACCTCAGTATATATATATCCTCTATTTGTTCTATACATTAGTTACTGTGAGGTCGCCACCTCTATATATGTATCCACATGTTGGGTTATTTCCAGGAATCCTATCAGACAGCTTTACTTGAGGGAGCTGCGGTAACCAGAGCTATATATATATTTTTTTCTCCTCTTCTCTCCTGGTTGCTCAACGCAATACTAAACATGATTCCTGGAGATCAGGATTAACCTATGCTCCATTAGTGCCTGAATTGGCGATTGTCAATGAATGATTCATTTGTTTTCTCTTTAGGTCTATGTTTGGTAACTCTATGGTTGCAATCATAGACAGCTGATACCGCACCTAAAATTTAGATAAATTTTGGGATCAGAATAGAGGTAGACATGTCTGATGTCATCAATTCTACCAGACATCCAGGGATCCTTATTTCCTTTCAAGGAGTTCCTTAGTCTCGTGTTTCAGTCCCACAGGTTGTTGGTTTTCTTTTTCCAACCATAGAGTAAGGGAGTTGGTAGAAGCAGATCCGGATTTGAATGATATTGTTCCATCAGAGCTTAGTCCTTTAGTGGACTCTAAATGGGAGATTCTATCAGTCTAGTCGGGAAAGGTAGAGGCTCTAGATGGGTGTTTTTTTTGTTTTTTTTCTGTTTTTTTTTTCATCGTGTAAAAGCTCTACTTTCTTGGTGTAAATCCTCAGTGTTCCTTTCAGGAGGCATGTTTCTTGCTTCTGAAGTTCACTACAAATGCTGTTGAAACTGTTTGGTGAGCTTATCTAGTTCTCATCATACTTTGAGGTGTAGGTTAAGGGAAAATCTGCAGTTTCGGGGGTTTCAGCCATGCTTTCCGCATTCACCCCTCCAGTCAGTGGATGCAGCGGAAGGCCATATAGATTCAATTGGACTTGTGTACAATGGGTTTATACGTCAACCGGCAAGGAGGAATCAGAGTAGGTGCTCTTTATCGCCTGTAGTGCTGTGGTGCAAAAATTTCTAGTAGATATTTCAATAGTTTTCGTTTCAGAGGCATCGACAATTAAATAGCCGTCAAGCTCGGCAGGGGTAATTGGAATCAGAGCGTTTTGTCCTGAGGTCCATGTGTTGTTTTATGTTCTGGAGAGGAACTTCGATTTTACAGACTTGTCCCTTAGGGCAAGCATTACAGAAGCCAGGTTCCCCAAGTTTCCTCCCTGTTCAGAGCAGGTCCCTTTGATGAATAGAGATACTCTCATTGAAATGTAATGTCAGGCTGGCATACGTCTTTCTTCCACTGACACTATTTCCAAGGATTCTTCGGAAATTAGGGCAGTCGGAACTTTATCCTGGTTCTTATTCTACTCTTGGCCAAACAAGTTTCTTGTTCCCGACGTTCAAGAAGATGGCCTCCACACAGTGGGAACTTCCAATCTCGTATAATCTCATACTAAACAGGAATCTAACCTAGGGTTCTGTAGAAGTTCAGGTTTACGGCCTGGCTACTGCTGTGTTAAACTAGACTTCCTGCTTTTTCAGTCTACTTTCATATAAATGTCTAGTTTCTTTTTTGATGGTGGGAACACCATTGCCCGCGTGCTCACCCATCTCTAAGACCCATGTTTCAAATTTTTCTGGAAGTTTTTTTTCTTCTGCAGACTTGGGTCTTTCTGTTTTGAAGTTCAAGCCTCAGTCCTAAGACTCACTGAGAAAGATTTTGCATCCATTTGTTAATCTATAGGTTTGTTGTCAGGTCCAGACATCCTCCTAGATATCTGTTTTTTTTCTTAATCTGGTGGCAGTACAACTTTCATATATATATAATTTTTAGGTTATGTTTTGTGTTTCTTCTTGCTACTGTTTATGTAGATCCTGCAGGGTCTAGCAAGCTGTTAATGGAGCAGGCGATACGTAATTCTAATTTAAGCCGGAGTTGAAATAAAGGAAGTGTAAACATTAGATGACTCTTTAAAGGAAGTGTTTAGGAAGAATGTGCAAGTCACATACAGGAAGGTGTGCCTAGGGCTCCATAAACAAAGTGATTAAACTTCTAAATGGCAGGGAATTGAGTAGTTGGACTGCAGAGGCATGATCTATACACCAAAACTGCTTTATTAACCTAGAGTTGTTTGGGTGACTATAGTGTCCCTTACATCCAAATATTTAATTTGCTTAGCTATATTTCAGAGAAAGTCTGACTGCAGTGGGTAAGCGGTTAAGATGTTCTTCCATGGCCAAAGTCTTTCTGTCCCTGACCATATTAGCAACACATCATCAATGTAGCATATGTGTTTTAGCATATTGTGTCTCAATATTGGGAGAATGAGTGTAGATTCATAAATGTTCAAGAATGTGTTTGCATATATTTAGGCCATAGCTGCCAATATCGAAATTCCAGTGTTGCTAAACATAACATTTGTCAAAATTATTTTGATGGCCCAGTGTAATTATACCCAAACCATCCAACAACATTTACCAGTTACTAAAGCAAATATTTTGGAGTTGTTAAATGACATCCACAGAATCCTGGGCACACATTAGCAATGTTGGTTAAAACGAGGTTCTAAAATACTATAGGAAACATTCCATAGCATTTTTCTGATAGGTGTTGGAGTCACCATGTTGGATCAAAATGTCATCCAGGAATCTGAATAATTTATTACCAGAATCCCCTTGCATTTATTAGCTGGCCGAACAGTGATTGGATTATCTATTGCCAGTATTTTCAGAGTTTACCATTCCTTCAGAAATGTTAGATTGACCCCATTGAATTTTACTAATCAAAGGGATATTGTCATGTTGTTGTTGGCAGGCAAGTCGAATGTGCTTCTGAGTCTAAATGTCTCTTATCGGTTTGTTCAGTGGTGTTATGCACAAAGAACACTTTACATTTCGGATTCCTGAACTTAAAGTATTCAACCTCCCATTTAAATAGATCATGCCCAGATATAGATACAAATAACAGTCTTTTAGACAGAAATGATAAATCAGGTTTTGACCTCTTGAGTTGTGAGTAATCTTGGTGTGTATCAGTTCAAATTCAGCAATTTTGAAGTAAGTGATTTACGTTCTTGCCCATTTCCTCTGTCTAGACTAGCATGAGATCCAGCATGCATTTTATGTAGGATTACAACCCATTTATGACAAACCTCTGGATACTTGCATTTGCATGTCATGGGGGCATTTTTGTTTTTAAAACTCTTGGGATGTTTCATCCTACAACAATCAGATATTTGGCGCAAAGTTCCCATACCTCCCTACTATATTGAGAGAAGCGCGTCAGTGATGTGGGTGTGCCCAAATTACTTTTTAACCTGCTCCATTTATTCTATTTTCTCACATTCTTCTCGTCGTGAGATTGTGATATAAGATTACTGTAGAAGGCAGAGCCTACGAGCATTTCCAGGTTCTTTTTATTGTTGTGTAATGGTCTGTGAAGAACTGAACTATAGATCTATAGAACGTTACAGAACATGTAATGTCCTTAGTGCAACAGCTCGATAATATACCCAGTGATAATTGAATGTAAGAAACTGAGAGCAACTCCTGTATATAAACAAGCGTACAATAGTTTTCATCTTCATGCTACAATAAAGTTGTCGTCCCACGTCTTCCCTTGTTGATTATGTAGCTGTGAAGCTCTAAAACAGTTTGTGGTGGTGGTCCTCAATTATTTGCTCAATTTAGCCTACCCTCATGCAGCTGTTAAAAGGTTATCAGCTGAGAAAAGATTCTGAAAACCGATGAAGCAGGCTTTGCTTTGATGGAAAGGAAAACTACAGGTTATGGGACTCAAAGTTCTTTGGACATCTGTGCTTGATGAATCTCATAGAAGCCATCCTTAGTGGACCTGATGAGGATGAAGATAAATATAAGAATAAGACGGCATATGCTGTGTTAATTCAGTTCTTTCATTCTTTGATAAAAGTCTGAGGTAACTGATGATGGAAAAAAGTCCCTTCAAGTACTTGAAAAATTCTTACGCGGCAAGGGAAAGCCCAGAATATCTAGTTTATACACCAAGCTAATGTTTCTTCAAAAAAGTGCAAATGAAAGTGTGACGGACTATGTTGTATGTGCAGAGACAGCCATTACATCATTAAGAAATGCAAATAATTCTGAAAGGCCTGAATCACTTAAACTGTCTGCCATCCATATTATGCAAG